CGCCCCGGCTCGGCGGGCCCCGCGCCTGGCGCCGCACTGCGGCCTGCGCGCCTTTGCCGGTCACCCCCAGAACCAGGTGAGGCCCGGCCCGGGTCCGCCCGCCTCCGGGCGCGGGGCTTTGGCTCCGCGACGGGCCGTCGGGAAGCAGGGAGCAGCACGGGGCTGGCGCCGGGATCCTGCCGCCGGGTCGCTCCCATCCTCCCTGCTGGTGAAAACCTCCCCTGGAATTGCTGTGGGGTCCGAGGGCGGCAGCGCGTCTGGCTCGCTGTCCAGCCCCGTGCGCACCGAGCAGTGAGCGCAATCGGGCTGTCAGCGGAGTGCTCTGCCCCGATCCCCGCTACAGGACGGGGGAGGCAGAGGCAGCAGACCTGTTGCGTCTCCTGCACGTTGTCCGGCAGGGACTGGTAGAGACTGTTCTGGCTGGGTAGAAAGTGATGATTCCGATTTGGGAGTCTTCTAATTTATCTGAAAATCCCAAACAACTCTCTATACTTTCCACTCTGTAGTCACTAGGCGTCAGTGGCTCCCAGATTTCCATTTAAAATGACTTATGCAAGAAAAACTAGTAGAAGCAAGAACTCCTATTACAGTGGAGCTGTTATGTATATTGCTTGTAGCTGTGTCAGTCCTGAAATAATAAAGAGACAAGGTGGGTGAAGAGATGCCTTGCACTGAACCAGCCGCAGTTGGTGGAAGGTACAAAGCTTTTGAGTTACACAGTTGTAGTCTCAGAAAGGAAATATGTTGGGGACTGATTAAGAGGAAAAGAATTTCATTCCCAGACCCCCAAAGGTAACTCTCCACCTCTTTAAAGTGGAGCTGTTAGTAATGAAGGAAACTTCCTGTAGGCTTTGTAGTGTCCCCCAATCGAGCTGACTTTGTGCTGCCAGAGGATGGAGAAAGGTCTGCAGGCTCTCAGGAGTCAGTGTCATATGCTGTTTATCAAAAGTCTTTTCTCCATTTCTAGGTGGCAGAGGGCATGGTAAAGCTCCTGCAGCCAAAGACACAGGTGGGACCTGAGGAAAAGAAAAATAATTTTGTTCTCAAAACCCCCAAGGTAACTTCCCTTCTCCTTCAGGGATGTGGGTCTCTCCTGGGTTGTTTTCTCTCCTGGCTCCCCCACCCTATCTCCTCTACTAGCATATGGTGTAAGTGCTCCCATCCCTGAAACTACCCTTTTCCCGCTTGTTATCCTGCACTCTGTGGGACAGTGGGATGCACAGTTTCCCTCAACTCCAGATTCTCAAGCCTAAAATTCTTTCTCTTTTTCCCATTCCATTCCTTCTTTCCAACTGACTCTTCTGCTAAGAGCACAAGTAAATGAGAAATTAGTGCCTGGCAAACAGGGGCATACATTTACCGTACACCAGCTCTCCGTATGGACTCTGTGAACTAAAAGTTCCCTAATCTCTCAACTAGCAGCAGTTCCAGCGAATCATCAACGTGTATTCTTGGTCCAACTACCCATTATAGCACCAAACTTTTGAGCACAGGAGCTTTGAGCAGCTGAAGGAGCTGAGAATACATTAGATATTGGATGGATTTACTGTTGCAGGTTGGTGGTGAAGGAATGGAATTTCGACACCGTATAGATCCAAGCACGAGGGTTTATTATGCACAGCGCCGGCAGAGTATCACTTCGCTCATTAGGCTCAGTAAGACACTGCCAAACAATTGATTACAATAGATTACATAGGGTGCCAATGAGCCTCTGAATATGTTCTAGCAGCAAGACACAATTAGCACAATAAGCCAATAATCTAAAAGGTACATCATTGCTCCGCCCATAGCTCAGGTTAACATGTTTGCTATTACACTGGTGTTACCCCTCACACTTCTCCTCTTGCAAGGTGTAAGTTAAATCCTGATTTCGGGTCCATAGAAATGATTATGGCACTTCCCAGATGGGTTGGCCGCAGGTACATTCCTAGTGGGTCTTAAAGCAAAAAGAACAGTAAACAGTACACAGCAACGACAGTTGTGTGTAGTTATCACTGCATCCTCTTCAGCTCTGGTTGGCATCTATATGAGGTTGCTATAACTCAGGCTGACATGCTAGCCCTCTCCTTGAACTCTGGTTGGCGTTCGGGGAGTGTGTACTTGTTATCTCTTTCTGAACCACGGAGTCTCCGAGGTTCCTCTCTGTGAATTATGTGCCTGTAACTCATGATAAGTGCCCAATTACTGCTCCCTGGGTTGTTCTGTCTTAGGTTGTTTATGGCTGGTTAAACAAACATGTCTGTTTCTTGCTTATCTCAATCTTTCTTTAGCCATGTATTGTCCATTGTTAACTAGGCCTCATGCCTCAGACCAGACCCCCGGAGTTTGGGCATATGTGAAAGGTTCTTAACAGAGACTATGGTCAAGATCTTACATACATATTATTGGGATTTTGGCCCTTCAGGTGGCTCTTCACTGCTAACATTTTTCTTCTCACCCACTTGCCTTTGGTTTGCTCTCAGGGCACCAGGGACTATAGCCCCAAGCAGATGGTCATCCGGGAGAAAATCTTCAACACCATCATCAGCTGCTTCAAGCGCCATGGGGCTGAGGTCATCGACACCCCTGTGTTTGAGCTGAAGGTGAGGGCAGGGCTGCAGCATGACATCTGTGCTGCTGGAGGTGCTGAGCCCTGAGTCAGACGTGCTCCATAGCTTTGTCCCGTGAAATGTTTGGGTGAATTCTAAGGGGCAGTAGCTGCTAGTCATCTGCCTGGGATTCACTCAACTGATCACCTCTATAGTCAGGCACAAGGATTCTCCCTGCTTTCTCTCTGGGAGCTTCTTGCTCTTATTTTCTGTTTCTGGTGCTCGTCCCCTCTCACCTGACGCAGCTGTCTTGCTTTTCTGTAGGAAACCCTGACAGGGAAGTACGGGGAGGACTCGAAGCTCATCTATGACCTGAAAGACCAGGGGGGAGAGCTGCTGTCTCTTCGCTACGACCTGACTGTATCCTACCAGATGTTCCTGGGAAGCACCATCTCATCCCAGGATTGCTGGTGTTTCTTAGGCAGGTGTGTGGGATGGAGGTGGGGTGGAGGTGAGGACATGCTGGAATCTGTCATCTCCACCTAGCTGAGGAGGAATGTGTCTGCCAACTCCACCCTGTATACGTTCATCCCATTCCTCCCCTGCGTTTCCCTCGTAACTGCATCCATGGCATTGCCCACGGACACCTCTGTCTTGACTCCTCCTTAGCCAGACTTTCATCCCTCCCGCCTGCAACAGCCTGCTGCAACTCCCGTCTCTAGGAGCAGCAGCTAAGTCCCAACCTTTCCAACTCCAGCATTCCGAGAATTACTGCTAGACACACAGTGGTGACTACATCACCCCGTCCTCAAAACTAGCTCCCTGCTGACTTCCGATCTGTACGTTGAAACCGTCCATGGGCTTGCTCCAGCGTTCTCCCTGGACATTGATCTGCGCTCATCTTGGCCAGCCTCCTTTCTGACTCTTCATATGGCCTCCCTACTCTGAGTGAATGAGCCGTTGCCTTTGTTACTGCTGCCTAACGGGTCATCCATCCAGGGCCTCTGTGCTTCACTGACTGCAGCTCTGTTCACATTTCACCTGAAAGCATCTTGGCTCCCTTCTCCTCATTGTATTATGTACATAATTCCAGTTTGTATCCTGGCAGCTAAAGAATGCAGCATCTGTTCAAATGACCCACCAAAGAGGCTATTTGTTCTGGCTGCTAACTTGGTGAGATGACTAAGGTGCTCTTCTAGGGACTTTGCTGTCCTTTAGGACAGGTGGCCACAGTTTGTGGGTGACCTTTAGCGCGGGCTTTGCCGTGGTGTTGTGTTGTACTGGCTTAGCAGCTGTCTGTAGTGATAATGGGTCTGAATGACTGGCCATGGGCTCTCTGGGCCGCCTCTAGGTTCCATCCTTAACCCTTTGCGCTCAGGTGCCCTTTGCGCGTTATTTGGCGATGAACAAAATCACCAACATTAAGCGTTACCACATTGCCAGAGCTTACAGACGGGATAACCCAGCCATGACGAGGGGCCGCTACAGGGAGTTCTACCAGTGCGTGAGTACCAGCAGCCTGAGCGCTCTCCAAGCGGTGGGAGCTGTGTGTGCAGGCCCAGGGTTCCCCGTGAACTCTGAGAAGGGTCTGTCTGGGGTCCTGGCTCTCCACAAAGCACCGGGGAAGTGGACAGGGAGGACGAGGGCTCTGTGTGTGTCGGGCCTGTTGTGCAAAGCGAGGTGTCTCACAGATATAATATTAATAAAACGCTTGTTACTGTTACATCAGTTAAGTGTGGGCCAAGGTTTTATGTCAAGTTATCATTGGAGACTCCCACTGTAACAACCACCATTAACAGTCTTGTCAACATTTTATTAAAAATACAGGCAGTCCCCGAGTTACGCGGATCCGACTTATGTCGGATCCGCAGTTACGAACGGGGCACTTCCTCTCCCTGGTCTCGAGCAGACCAGGGAGAGGAAGCAAAGCGGCGGCGGAACGCGCGGCCAGCTGACAGTCCAGACGCGTCTGGGCTGTCCCGCTGCCCCCGTGCTCCGCGGCTTTGCTCCGGCCGCCTGTGGTACAGCAGCTGGGGCGCTGCCGGTTGGTCCCGTAGCACCGCTCTGGGTGCCACTGGACCAACCCAGCAGCACCCCAGCTGCTCTGCCCCAGGTGTCCCCTAGTCAGCAGCTGCTGAAAATAACAAGTGGCTG